CTCCCGAGTGAGCCACGGGCCGGCCCTTCTGTGTCTTTTCTTATAAAAACACCCATCACTGTATTTAGGGCTCACCCTAATCCAGGATAACCTCATCTTAATATGTCTCTTCTTTTTTTTTTTTAAAGATGACCAGTAAGGGGATCTTAACCCTTGGCTTGGTGTTGTCAGCACCACGCTCAGCCAATGAGCGAACCAGCCATCCCTATATAGGATCCGAACCCATGGCCTTGGTGTTATCAGCACCGCACTCTCCCGAGTGAGCCACGGGCCGGCCCTTCTGTGTCTTTTCTTATAAAAACACCCATCACTGGATTTAGGGCTCACCCTAATCCATGATAACCTCATCTTAGTTATATCTGCAAAGACCCTATTACTGAGTAAGGTCATATTCATCGGTTCAGGGTGAACATGACTTTTAGGGGTGGTTCTTCAGGCCACTGCAGGGATCACCAGTCAGGTCTCTACAGGGATGCCAACAGGAAGATTTTGGAGAGGAGAGTGGGGTGAGTAGGTTCCACTTACGAATGTGGACAGGAGGGCCCCTGAGGCCTGAGGAGATGCCATCATGCCAGCCAAGCCCCCACTGGCCAGGGAAGGGGCCAGCAGGATGCAATAGCCACTGCCTGGGCCCACCCCAGGGTGCCGCCCCACCAGCCCTGCAGTCCAGGAGGGGTCCCCATGCTGATCCTAGCAAGGGAAGAAGGTGAGGGTTGGCAGGAAACAGAGAGGGCCCCAGAGTGACTTGAATGCAGGATAGTGCCACCAGTATGGCACCTGTAGGGAAAGCTGAGGTCCCCAGACCAGCCCCAGGAGAAGCCCTTACCTTGGCTAGGTCTGAGGACCCAGATGGTGTCACAGAAGCCCGGGAGCTGAGCTGCCTGTGACTACAAAGGACCACAGCCACTGCCCAGCCTGCCCCAGGCTCAGCCTCCCAGCCCAGCTCCTGCATGCCTGGGTCATGCAGGCGGGGCCACTGACCAGCTCAAGCTCAGGTCTTTGGTACAGTGCAGGAACAGGCCGTGGGGTCTGTGCTGAACTGACAGGCTTTTCTGCTGCCCACTCGGCTTCTGTCCTCCCTGCCTGACCCCTGCCAGTGCTGTGGCCTTGGAGAGCTCAGGTCTTTGGTACAGTGCAGGAACAGGCCGTGGGGTCTGTGCTGAACTGACAGGCTTCTCTGCTGCCCATAACACTCGGCTTCTGTCCTCCCTGCCTGACCCCTGCCAGTGCTGTGGCCTTGGAAAGGAGCCAGGGCTCCCTGCACTGCAGTCTCTGGCCTTGCTGTAACTGAAGTGTGGTTGTGGGTGGTTGGGGCATGTCACTACCTCAATACCAATGCATGGATGGAAATCCTTTGTTGCCTGGACACTGGACACACGTGAAGGTGGGCACTCACTCTGCCCCCAAGGTCCTTGGCCCCCACGTCCACAGCACCCAGCCTGGGCTAGAACTGTTGGCTCCAGAGGAGCCCCACTGTGTCAGGGGCCAGCCATTCCTCCCTCACAGGGTATAGGCAGCTTCTCATATCCTGAACAGAATCGGGGGTCAGAGGAACTTGGCAACTTTTCCAGGAAGCCAGCAGTGTTCTGACCATGTCTGTCATCTCCACACCTGTGCCCCAACAACAGACAAGAGCCTGCCCCCTGCCCACGCCCATCCACCTTCAGACAGCGTCTTGCTCAAGAAACCTGTTGCATGCCCAAGCCCCCCTCCTCTCAGCACCCAGGTGGTATGGGATTTTCTAAACGTTACTAGCATTAAAAAGTTTTAAGTTTTTATTTATTTCAAAGTCACGCAGGCACATAGTAAAAAAAAACCTCACCTTTGTACTCAAAAGGTAACAAGGTGGGAATCAGAAATCACTGCCCCCAACCCCATTGTAGAGGAAGCCTTCTGGACCCCTGACTGCACCTGTGAGTGTGAGTCCATCTGTCTGTCCAACCCCACATCTGCTGCACATGCTCTGCCCCTGCTCTCCCTCATCTGGACACTGGATTTCGGGACCCACAACGCTGCTGGTGTCAACACCTGTCAAACACCCCTGGACTCTTTCTGGGTTCCAGCCCTGCTGCAGGAGCATCCTGGCTCCTGACACATGTGCACACCTGCATGAGGGCACCTGCAAAGAGGCTCCCGAAGGTGGAATTGTGGGGTCAAAGGGCACTTGCAT